TCTTCTTCTTATCATAGCATACCAACCAGCGAACACCCAGCCAAGTTTAGTTAGCCAGTTTGAGTATTCGTTACAGAGGGGTATTCTACTTCTAGAAAAAGTAAATATAGTAATATTATTAGAGGTTAACTTAGTAGTATTATTACTTATTTATAATAAAAGGTTTAGTAGTAATATTAGAGCCTAGTTTATAATAGAATAGGCGAATATAGAACTATATTTTAAAGTCGAATTTAAAGTAGCTTTTAGTATTAGTTTTATAATAAAACTAATAAATATAGAACTACGTATTATAAAAGTCGTAAGGTAAAGTATTAATAGGTATTTACGCTTAATACCTTAATATCTAGCTATAGTAAATTCGTACTATAGCTATAGTAGATATGCTATCTTTTAATATATCTAGATTTAATAGATTTATATTAATAGCTATTCTAGATCTTATAGTTTAAAGTACGTAGATCATAATAAATTCGTATTATNTACTATAGCTATAGTAGATATGCTATCTTTTAATATATCTAGATTTAATAGATTTATATTAATAGCTATTCTAGATCTTATAGTTTAAAGTACGTAGATCATAATAAATTCGTATTATTAATCTAGAAGCTACTATAATATATAATTCTAGTACTTTCGAAGTCTAGGACTTAATAAATTTATATTAATAGCTAATCCGGGAGCTCTTTAAGTACCTATTACGTTAGTATTAGTTCTACTTCTAANACTATAATATATAATTCTAGTACTTTCGAAGTCTAGGACTTAATAAATTTATATTAATAGCTAATCCGGGAGCTCTTTAAGTACCTATTACGTTAGTATTAGTTCTACTTCTAAATACTTAGCTAATAATAAATTCGTATTAAAATCTGAGGGGTAAAAGGTAGAACCTCTACTACTACAATAGCTTTAATATCTAGTGTCGAGGAATTAAAGTTATCTAATCTATACACGCGCTTATAATAATTAGTATTAGTTTAACTCTAAGTTAATAGAGCTAAAAATATAATAAAGAAAGTATAATATAAGGCTAATAGTTTAGTATCGAATATATTGTATTATAAAGACTATTAGTTATATACACCGAGTAAAGGTATTACAAGTACTACTACTATTATATAGTAGTACTTAGTGCCAATTACAGCACGTGAGTGGCCTTGAGTGGTATTCACTTATACCGACAGATTTACTGTTGCTAAAAATATGGACGGCCAGGGTGCCAGAAGAGTTGTATTTAGGTAACTGGGGAGCTAACAACTGCGGGCAGGAGCCTGGCTTATATGGCTCTGGGCCCTGGCATATGCCCCTCCTTTTTTGTACACTCCTGTTCCATTCCATGCATGCGGCTCCTATGCGGTGGAACCACTGGTCAGATTAACTGACAACATTTACTTATTTACTTATTTACGTACTAGGAAATATCTACCTACGTGAGCAGAGAGATGAGGGAAGGAGGGAGAGGGGGAGGGGGTATAAGGGTATAGGGGTATAATAGAAGTAGAAAATTATAGGACGTAATAGTAGAAAAGTACTTGTAGGGAGGGGGAATAGGTAAGGAGGGAGGATGGGAGGGACAGTTAGAAACGACTTGTACTTACAGATAGTTTACAAGGGTAAAGGGAGGGCGGGGGAAGGCAATCTAATATAGATAAATAGCTCGCGAAACGCTTAGGTAGCTTAAACTCTTATAGCTTTTACGGTTACTATAATAATAGATAATCTTCGGGTTGAGGAAGATTTTGTTCCCTAATGCCGGCTCCCGTCTTACTAAAAGAGAGCCAGTTTTTATCTGTTCCTATTTGGTATATCACTAGGGAGAATTCTGATATTTATATAACCTATTTTAATGGTGAAAAATCCGGATGTTGTCCGTTATAAATCCCACACGGCTGTTTTACTTGGTGGGTTGATATCATCCTGACCTTGTTGGACTGGAACGATAATTCGGACTCCCACTTCTATTCCCTAGTCAATTCCGGGTGTCCCAAGCTGACTCGACCGAAACATACATCATCACTCAATTGTGTATTCTGTATGACGCTGAGCCACTCCGACGGTTCGTCCAGTTGTTTCAGTCTTGTACAGTAAGACACGAGGCGACCACGTGGATTCCTCCTGTTTCCCGGGTTTTACCATGTCCGTCTGTAATTATGAAAGTATTAAAACCACCTTGCTCTGTAAATCGTGTTTGCGTTGCGACCATTTAGAGTCGAAAGTTTCCCTTCGCTTACAAGTAGATATTTCCTGTTCGAGACTTCTGGTCCAAATGCTGGTCGAATGCCGAAGAGAGAAAGTGGAAGAGAAGTAATTTGTACTGGAATTGTAGTCGGAATGTACCGTATCAATTTTAGGTATATCTTGCGATAAAATTCAGCCTCACTGACTTTGTCACTTTGTTCCCGTTCGTTGCTCGTAATGGAAGGTACTACCTCGCTTGTGGAGGCTGTGCATGTGAGTTGGCTGCTGCATGACACCCAACCACCCCTGCATTTACTGTATCTTGCATCAATACTGCTTCTTCAAGGCTTCCATCCACCTTCTATCGGATTTCGGGGCGTCATCTGTCCCCACAGCGAACTGTGCCTCTTGAATTTCTGACCAATATTGATGCCGCCCAGCAATAAACAGTAAAGCTTCTCCGATTCAAGCCATCCCTCGCGGTGACCCAAAATGGAGGTACTGTACAGCCTCGATTTCACGAAAGAGGAGAGTCTGGATGCTTTCCCCTCACCTACACAGGCGCCTGTGCCAATCCCCTAAAACAGGATTTCTCCGTAAGCGACAAGAAACAAGTCGGAAGCGTTTGACACCGAGTATACTCACACTCACAGAAGAAGAGGTTGTGGAGGTAAGTCAATCGGGTCCAACTCGCTTCTTAAGGATCGTCACTCGGCTTACTGCCTTGTCCGTCAGCCTCATTTCGATAACAAAAGATATATGAGCGAGGTCACTGCTTGAATGATGTTCAAGGGCCAAGCAAAAACAACTTAACTATGGATTCCCTATTCAAATCCCACTATCCAATATTCATTCTTCTCGCTCTATTTCCTATCTTGTCTTCCTCTGTCGCTACTGATTCGAGTAAACATAGCCAGGGGAATTTCACATCTTTAAGTGATGCTGTCCCACAATTATCGAATCTTACATATCTACTACCCACCACTCACAAGAAGGCTCCCACACTCGGCGGTCAAAATTTCACCCACTGTTGTTTATTAGCGGTCAATGCCTCACTTGAAGTTATTGGTGGATACCTTCGCAAGACTGAAACTGACTACATAGGCGCCACTGTGGAAGAGTTTCTTCAACGCAGCGAAGATGGTCAGTTTCCCTGCACAGCTACATGGGATGGAGATATCAGAGGTGCACCAAAAGTCAGTGTCCCAGCAGGATGGCTGGAATCTACTTGCCCCGGCTGGCAGATGTCCGATTCGAAGAAGGGCCATGAGAGCCAGTGGATCACGCCATTCGTTGGATTTTTACTTCCATCCGTGGTATTTGTCCTTACTATTCCAAGACGACGGAAACTCGCGGTATGGAAGAAGCTATTCGTTCCAGACTTTTCGCAGCTCATCAGTTGGATCGTCGCACCATTTGCAATGATCCTGGCTGGCATATTTGTATGTTGCGACACACTTATCTGGCTCGCTACTTGCTTCGCGTTTGCAAGTCCGATGATACTCAGCGGTATTTACGAAGCATATCTCGACCAGAAAGTAATCTCTTTCTTGACAGAAAAAACAGCTAATCTCAGATTGACTCTCGATATGCGCGCTCGACTTCTCTTCGTTGTCCTGGTTGGTAATTTGGATCTGGATCCTGAACAAATTCGAGGAGACGAGGAGCTGGTTATTCTAAGTCATGGGAAGCATTCGGACGACAATGAACGTTGGCCAAACTTTAGACCAAACGCACCCCGCAATCCGTCTTCTCCTTGGACGCATATTGAAAATCTTGTTAGTCCACTTCGATCGTATAGAGATGCCGCGCTCGGAAGTCCTCGACAATGGCCACTTCACGATGTCAAATGCACAATTCCAAATTGTACTGATTTGTATTGCAAAGAGGTACCTCTTCGACGAAACTTTTTTGTTCGCAAAGAAATTGGCCGCACAAAGACTCGGATAAGGACAATGTTGGCTACTCAACTATCGTTTGGATCAAGTGTTGGCTCCCCCGTTGTCTTCTTCCTGGGAGCCTTTAGCTTCACACTCGTGACCACACTTGCAAGTTTAGGAGATGAAGATACCAGCCTGGATCTCGCGTTCGGAATGTGGTATATGATAAGTTAGTATATCCCTTGTATTCAAAAGTTTTGTGGAGAAAAAAAACTAACGTAAACCAGTACCCCATATTTCCATTGTATCTGGCCTCCTACTTGCTGGCAATAACCCAAACACGCTTGAGGGAGTTATGGCTCTTGAGTTCGGTGACGTGGAGGAAAAAGAATCCTTTGAAACGAAACACTGGCTCAACAGCATCTTTGAACTGGCATACGAAAGCCGCTACCGTCCAAAATGGTTATGGGAACGTGGACGAAGCAAGCAAGATTGGATTGACCGGGTGATATCCACCTATGAGGTTCGAGCACCATCAGGAAGACGAGGTTCTATGGTTCCAGATGAGGATATGGCGGCATTACGAGTGGCAACTACGCTGGGTTTCACGGGCTGGACAATCGTCCTAGCCTTGACACTTCTTCTCATGGGAGTTCCGTTTGTTCTTGCTTTCGTCGTCTCATTTTTCACCCCACAAGTTGGTGTGTCTTGTCGTAGCTTCACTATTCTCATATACGCCATCGCTCAACTCTGCCAGGTAATTCTCTGGATGTGGGCTTACGCTGGTCCTCCTTCGAAGGGGAAATACTTCACGTTCTTTCGCAAAGGTGGCTTCCTTGACCAAAAAGGGTTCTTTACACCAACCAACATCAAAACTCTATGGACACAAAAAACGTTCCGGTCACTTCCAACTCTATGGGCACTCATATGGTTCAATCTTGCTATGCTATTCGGACTCGGAGGCGTTATGTCCACGATTGGCGGTACGATGATGCAACTGATGGGCGTCTACACGTCTTCAAAATGTAGCATAAATGCCTCTTGGTGGACAAGACCCCACGAGCACATTATTGTCACTATAAGTAAAAACTCCGAGCTCGAAATCCGCGATGCGAAGAAATACTGGATCCCCTGTGCTATTACTGCCATTTTGTTTTTAGGATTGGTGAGCTTCTGTGGATGGTGGTATCAAAGACGACTGAGGGGGCTGTTCAGGAATTTGGTGAGTGAGCTAGGGAGTCCGAGGACAGATAGGGAGGATATTAGAGCGGTGGTTGTCCCTTCTAGAAATGGTTCACTAGGTGGCTGAAGGGGCTGCAATCCTTTTTGTTTGTTGAACTTTTCTTTCTGCTTTATCCTTACGAGCATGGAGTTTTGGGGGTTTATGTTCAGATACCCATATTTTTGTTTTATACATATGAGCGAAGTAGCATTTCTCTTTGGTAGTGGAGGTTTATATGTATGATAGTTACATAAGATTGCTTTTGATAATATTCGCATTATCTATATAAATGCTTACATTTCTTCGGTTTTGGTCGAGTGATTGTGCCATCTTTTCGGTTCTTTATGAGTACTATTGGTACGGGACGAAGCTAGAGCAGGACTGGTTTTTCGGGCCTATCAGTGATGAGATGGACAAGAAATCGGTGGTAAACTGCTATTACAGACCTTGAATGAAGGTGCCCTCAAGGCACACTCTTTCCGAGAAAATTACTCCGTTCAAACTCCCAGCCCCCATTTAACCTCTTGAATCATCTCTCACCAAGCATAAGAATCCACAGTCAAGCTGGTCAAGGCCCTCTCACACTCTGATTCTTCTCTATATTCTCCAGCCCCGCTCTCAACCAGAAAATCAAACCACCAAAAATCCTCAGGCAAGAACCTCATAGCCGTAGTCCATTCCCAAAAATCGGGATACCACCCCGCAGCCTCCCAGTCTAACAACCCCGTGATATGACCCACGTTATCAACGAGGAAATTATGATGCTTGATATCAACATGTGTGAATTTCACGCCAGGCCGTTTAGCATGCAAGGTCTGGAGATATCTCGCAAGTTGAAGCTTAGAATTGAATACCTCTTCTGACCCGAAAGAATTGTACGCTGGGGCGAGAAGGTGATCGTAGAAGTCTTGAAGGGTTTCGCATGGTCCAACGATGTGGTTGGGAACACTAATACTTCTTATTGGACCTCCTATCAGACTGCAAATCCGTTCTGGACCTCATGGACTTTTCCATTTTCTGATACTGGATAGGTAGAATTTAAACTCTGAAAGGGCGGTCGTCTGTGCCTCGGGACTTAATGATTCATAAACCTGTCCTAATTCGCGACCCGGAAGTCTAGTCATGAGAATGGACATCCGAGCGTGTGGGGTATCAGGGTGTGAGCCGTAGGATAGGATGTAAGGCGTTGGCAAACCGGCGGCGTAACAGACTTTGGTGGTGAGAACTTCTTCGAGTCGTGTGCCGTCGGACCATTTTAGAAGAACTCCGAAAGGCAGTGGGATGATTTGGTTATCAAATTGGATGCCCATCCATCGGCAATAATGTAGTGAGAATGTTGAATGTTGCTAGATGTGTGTGTATATGCCCCCAAAATCGCTGGACGATTTGCCGGCTGGGTGAGGGAGTTGGTGGTGTTGTGCTTACCGGGGTGAGGTTTATTCGAGGTTTCCATACATAGTCAGGCCGTAAAATTGGAGGAATCCATGAGGGTACCATTTGAAATGAATGTTTGCTGTAATATATCTCCCTTGGTGTATTTAGAGACCTTGGTATATTCTTGATGCTCAAGCCAACGGAAGGAGGTGCCGTCACCGCAGAACCTCCGAAGAAACCCCGCATTTCTTTCTCGCTTCAGAATTTATAACAACAAACTAGATTTCCCTGGTATGACCCATCGAGACTGGGTTTCTTGGATTCTAGGGCTTCTTCACGAGATTGCTAGTAAAACAGGTGTTTCAGACTGTAGTAATTTTGTGGCTAAGGAGAAGGAGGTAAAGAATTATGATAGGAATGTTCAACCACGACCTTTCAGTTCCTCTGGAATTTTTGGGCTTTGAGTTGCTTTGTATGTTGAGCTTTTGTCAACGATTCTGCGGGTTGGTAGTGATTGTCTTATGTTTTTATTATTGAGTTTGGGGTTTAAAAATGCAGGGTATAGATTTGTGATAGAGTAGGTAGTTATAACATTCTAATCGTTATGGTATCATGGTTATACTAAAGGGATAAGAAAGATTGCGATACAGATCGTAGACCTGAAACAGCAAGAGTCAAATGATTTCAATATAGTAGGAAGTAATGAAGAGTTAGAGAAAACTCAAGCTTGCGGAAACTTGTGTGCCATGAACCTCGCACTATGTCTTACGCAAGGGAATAGTTACAGATAAGTTGAGATGGGCTCGAAAGCACATTGTTGGTTTGACTCTAATAGAGAGTCCAGACAAAGTGTTAATACAAATGGAATAGTATCGTATTTAACTATCAGATATGCACACCTAGTAAAGGTTATAGGTGCTCGCTATTATATAGTAGTGCCAAGGCGCTAGTACCCCTACTAGCCCCAAGGCTAACTTACACGTACTATAACTTATACCGAGTATTCACTCGATATTCGTATAGCAACACACATATATTAAGCAAACAAAATGATAAGTTAAACGGGTCCTTCAGGGTAATTATCTGTTCAAAGCACGATTTTGTCCGAACTTTCGACTTACCAGTGACAATTGTTAATGGGCTCTTGTGCTAGACTCCGAAAAGTGACAAAATCTTCTATATTACCTTTATCCGAACGTTGAATCTAACGCTACTAATTTGCTTACTATTAATTTTCTTACTATATAATAACAAATTATTTATAGTTAGCTTGCTCCCTTTCTTTAGGGCTAGCGCTAGTAGCGTACTATAGTATCTATAGTTATATAGGTACTTAGCTAACTATGCTTACTTCGGTATATAGTATAGGGCGTATTTGTGACAGACGTGCTTCAGGTAGAACTCAGAACAATTAACACTCTATTCTTAGGACAAAAGACGAGGAAAGAAGGAGAGCTCGAGAGAGCTGGGAACTAAATACAGGTCGTGCGCGCTAGCGCCTCGCTAAGCGAGCATGTGACATCCAGCCCTCGTGACCATAACCGTCACAGTATTCCTATATATAATATAGGTCTATTATATTATATATATATATACCGTAAAGTTAAACCACCCTCTACGTTACAGAAATTATAATAATATACTATAAGGTCGAGACAAGGATAGTAGGCGATTAACATTTGGCTAACTGATCGGCGAAAGGCCCGCGCTAGTAATAATCTCCCTGATGATAGCGTATCTGGGGAAGCCTTCCCTAGATCGTTACTTAGTAAATTCGTAGCTATATTATAGGATAAAATAAACTCTATTAAAAACCCCGAATTACTAAATAACGATCTAGTCCTCAAAATTAGGTACGGGTTTAACGTGTTTACGTTCGCGCGTATAGTTCTAAGAGATAGTTAAGGCAAGGAAATTAGACTAATCGAGTTGCGGCATAGACACTGCTTCTCCAAGGCGCAGGTTATTGAGAAGTCGCGGACAGACTTGATCGGACCATATCTTCGTCCAAACCGGTAGAAAAACTTGCTCCCCAACCACTTTTCCATTGCGTTATTATTGTGCAGCCCCAAAAAAGCCGCGCAAGTATCACCGTCGGTCACAGAATTGCTAAGAGATTCGGGTTGCCAGCAAACTGGTTCTTGTCTCGAGACTCCTCGAGGAGTTTTTCGAGGGATGACTGCTGGTCTCTAACATCGTCGATGGCGTCGCGTCGCCGCTTGGGTGTTTGCGGGTTGGCCGCCATTGCTGGGGAGAGTATAGAATTATTTATGTAACTATTTGTCGGTATAAGTGAATATCACTCAAGGCCAACTCACGTGCCGTACCTTGGCACTGAGAACCACTACATATAGTGGTGGCACTTGCAACACCTTTACTCGGTGTGCACAACTAATAGTCTTTACAATACGATACATTCGATACAGAACTATTAGCCTTGCATCATACTTTCCTTATTGTCTTTCGGCTCTAATGACTTAGAGTTAATCTAATACTATTAAAATATTAACAGTTATTAAATACAGGTCGTGCGCGCTAGCGCCTCGCTAAGCGAGCATGTGACATCCAGCCCTCGTGACCATAACCGTCACAGTATTCCTATATATAATATAGGTCTATTATATTATATATATATATACCGTAAAGTTAAACCACCCTCTACGTTACAGAAATTATAATAATATACTATAAGGTCGAGACAAGGATAGTAGGCGATTAACATTTGGCTAACTGATCGGCGAAAGGCCCGCGCTAGTAATAATCTCCCTGATGATAGCGTATCTGGGGAAGCCTTCCCTAGATCGTTACTTAGTAAATTCGTAGCTATATTATAGGATAAAATAAACTCTATTAAAAACCCCGAATTACTAAATAACGATCTAGTCCTCAAAATTAGGTACGGGTTTAACGTGTTTACGTTCGCGCGTATAGTTCTAAGAGATAGTTAAGGCAAGGAAATTAGACTAATCGAGTTGCGGCATAGACACTGCTTCTCCAAGGCGCAGGTTATTGAGAAGTCGCGGACAGACTTGATCGGACCATATCTTCGTCCAAACCGGTAGAAAAACTTGCTCCCCAACCACTTTTCCATTGCGTTATTATTGTGCAGCCCCAAAAAAGCCGCGCAAGTATCACCGTCGGTCACAGAATTGCTAAGAGATTCGGGTTGCCAGCAAACTGGTTCTTGTCTCGAGACTCCTCGAGGAGTTTTTCGAGGGATGACTGCTGGTCTCTAACATCGTCGATGGCGTCGCGTCGCCGCTTGGGTGTTTGCGGGTTGGCCGCCATTGCTGGGGAGAGTATAGAATTATTTATGTAACTATTTGTCGGTATAAGTGAATATCACTCAAGGCCAACTCACGTGCCGTACCTTGGCACTGAGAACCACTACATATAGTGGTGGCACTTGCAACACCTTTACTCGGTGTGCACAACTAATAGTCTTTACAATACGATACATTCGATACAGAACTATTAGCCTTGCATCATACTTTCCTTATTGTCTTTCGGCTCTAATGACTTAGAGTTAATCTAATACTATTAAAATATTAACAGTTAACTTATAAATAAACTAGTAAAATAATAATACTTTAAACGTTAATAGCTATATTAGGTCTAATTATTAATATTATATAATTTATATAGTTATATATTTACTAGTAATCTTTTTAGATATTTGGCTTAGTTAATAGTTTAGAATAAATTTCTTCCCTTTTAATTTTTAATTATTATTTAATAATTTAGTTAAGTTATAGAAATATTTATTAATAAAGTACTTAGACAATTAAAATCTAAAAAGAATACATTTATTTATTTTCTATAACTATCTTTAGATAATAGAAATATATTATAAATCTTTTCAAAGAATATTAAAATAACTAACTTAAATATAAAAATGATTTAATTAGTATAATAATTTTAAAAAACTAAACTAAATAAATAAATTTAAGATTTCTATAACTTTAGTTTTCCGTTTAATATTTCTCTTTTTCTTTTATTACGTAAGAGAATTCAAATAATCTAATTAATAAAGCTTGTGGTTTACTTAAATGAAATGTATACGTTAGACACGTCACTTTATACCCCTTACGAACTTTCTGCTAATTGTTTACCTTGTTTTCTAATAGTAGAGAATGATCTTACGTATTTAACAAGCTCAAAAGTAGTATATAGTATTAGATATACATCTGTTTTATAGAATGCTTACAACTATATATATCTATATTGTTTTGTAGTACTGTAGTAATAGTGGTAGTAGAGATGGTTGCTATACTAATATACTAATAGACTAACTACGCAATTAACATTACCTTTTCTCTACAGCACACACAATTAGTCTAGCGTACTACCAAAACTCTTGTCAAACTCCCACACACATCAATTATCACACTGTCATCGCATTCAATCGCACCTCCTCAGATCTTACAAATCCACTACAATCTACTACCAAGCCCCCCTATCACCATAACCCCCATCACCAAAGCCACCAACAAGATTACCAAGAAACCAGCGGTAGCGCAACAGACTACCACAAGCGCCGCCTCCAAGAAGGCTTCCTCTGCTACAACGGGCTGAGATTAGCCCCTTATGCCGACTGGCGAGCGAAAACAACGGGGAGATCTCGAGTTTGTCGTTGGGATAGGCGAGAACTGCTTCGAGCACATTGGGTAATCGGGTGATTATATTGATGAGTATACCAATCAGGTTCTGGAGCAGTTCGGTGGTCTGGAACAACAAGCAGCGATTGCTGAGAAGGTTGCTAAGCCTTGGTATCAGGAGCATATAAAGAGATCTGGGACACTTATTCGACCATGACCTAGCGATGAAATGACTAGAGTGTTTACGGTTCTTGGGAATACTTTGTGGGAGTTTAATGATCAGCCCACGGATGGAAATGGGAAGAAGTTGAGACCGTTGAGTATGTTTCTTTTCATTGCTGTTTTTTGATGTGTAATTGCTGATGATGTGTTAATAGAGACCAAGAAGAGAGATCGTGGTGAGTATGGTAAGTATTCCCAAAGTCAGATTTTGTGTATGGTTAAGGCTAATCATCATCGATAGGAACTGCTGCTCGCAAGAACGATGACGATGACGATGACGATGAGGAAGATGAAGAGGATGAGAGAAAAAAGAGGAAAGAGGCTGCTGTGAAAAGGGAATGGGTGGTGGCAGAGCTGCCGGTGTCGTTCGAAGCGATGCATTTGGTGGACGAGATGGGGAGGAGGGACAGGGACAGAGACGAACTTTTGAGTACGAGGAGAGAATGGAGTAGAGGGAGGCGAGGGAGGGCATATGACACATGGAACGGGGCTTCGATTGAGAAAGAGGAGTTTGAGGCTGCACAAATTCTGTTGCAGATGAGTCAAGGAGAATGATTCACCAGCACCAAAGTAAGCATGAAATTTAATGGATTTATTGCTTGACCTTTATAAAGAGGGGACTACCACCAAGACTTTTTGGCTGCTAGCACAATGGAATGAATGACTTTGCTGTGTCATGTCCTCAAAATACAACGACGCTTACCCAAGGCTATGCCACGTCACAAACTCCCGTACCCAGCTTCACATAAGCAATCTTAGCATCAGGCTTTTCCATTCCAAAAATCCATCAACTCGCAATTTGAAAGAAAACAGCAACAACATCTTACATACAATCTGTTTCTGGACCAGTATTTAACAGAACACTAACTCTTACTAAACGAAAAAACCCATCTATATGGGCCCCTCTCCATCGCCATACTCGATTTTTGGGAACTCAGCGCCTTTCTATGGTGAGACTCTCTTCGTGAGCCCCCCTGGGTTGGTCCCATCCGGGATATCGTCGATGAGGTTTGGAAGCTCAGGGCCTTTGAGTTGCGGGGCTCTCTTGTGTGCTCCGCCTGGGTTAGTTCCATCCGGGATGTCCCCAAAACCTGGAATATCAGAGCCTCTCTTGATTGTAATTGTTTGATCAGGTGGTGGAGCCTTGAGAGATTGACCTTGGTTCTTCCTTTTCGCCAATAGTTGATCCTTAAGGGTATTTGACCTCCTCTTGACTTCAATTGGTTCGCCTGGTGGTGGAGCCTTAAGGACTCTTTTCACTCTCTCAAAAACGCTTGCTTGATCTGGTTCAAGGTTGTTTTCCCGTTTTTTGAACTCAATTGGTGGGTTATATGGTGGAGCCTTGAGTTTTGCACCATCTTTTCTTTCCTCAAGGACGCTTGAAGTTCGTTTATCAACTTCCTTTTCGAAGCTTCTCCCGACGATCAACGGTGGTTCATCATCTTTGACTAATTTCGTGCTTCTTGCTGGGAAAGCGTTTCCTTTACCGATACCACTGTGTCTCCTTTCCGGGTTGCCAGTAACAGGGAGCTTCACGAATGAGTCATGGAAATCGGTGCCTCTAAAATAAGAGGTTAGATGTGTATGGGGAGGGTTGGGAGTGGGGGACTCACGAGCGGACTTCAAGACCTGAGTTCTGAACAACACGGAGGGGGCTGGCATTTGCTGAGAGGATGGACGTTAGAAGGACGACTCTGGTTGAGGTGTTGAAGAGTCTCATGGTTTATAAGAATAGATGTGATATTGGAAGTAGAAAGATTCAATGAGTTCGTAGACCTGCTATAGATCAAAGACTACATGTATATTCGAAATATTGTGGTGGTTTGAATATGAAGCAGCATAACAGAAGGTTTTCCGGGCGATCTTGTGGATACAATGGGGGATATATATGTACTTCGTACTCGTATTTCGCGTGATGATCGGCGCTGTATTGTTTCTGCATGGTTGTGTGAAGGGTATTGTAAAACCGCACTGCTGGGATATTGGCGGTATGTGTGCCTTTACCAGAGGTCTTGGCGATTTCGACAACAAGGGCGTTTGAGTATGGCCAAGACATACCTATACCTCGATGCTGCATTTCAGTACAAGGTTACGTACTATGTAAATCTTATCGGGAGTGAGAGTCCGAAACTTAGGTACATAGGTAGTCTTGGAAGGTGTATATATATTAGAAATAAGCAGTTTGCAGTCATTATTGGGAACTGGGTAACGCAATCGATACAAATTGACACTCTACCTGATTACATCATCTTTCTGCGGGCACTCGTAA